GGGCCAGGAAGTATCAGACTAGAAGTGGGACCAGCTCCAAGGATTCCCTTCTCATTGGTTCTTGGAGGAACCTTTGAGGAATTGGATTCCTTAGGTGAAAAGTTCACCTTGAGCTGTGACTTAGATTTCTGATGCGATTCAGATTTCCTAGTCCCTCAAGAAGAAGAAGAAGAAGAAGTTTTACAAGTTGAAGGAATAGATTTAGATCTATTAGACTTGTTAGGCTTCTTAGAAAGGGATGATGTCACAGTGGATTTACCTTGTCGTTGCACCCAGAACTCAAAGGAGTTCCTTCAAGATGACTCTCGGTAAAAGAAGAGGACTAGACGAGACAAAGGTACCAAATTTAAGCATGGACCTGTCTTTAACACATTCTTCCTGATCATAGGAGAATCCTAGACCAGTCGTTTTCGTGGCVGGGATCTGAGCGTTAATGATCTTTGAGGCTTTGAGGGAAGCTTTGCACCACCCTTCAATAGTAGCTTTCTCAGCCTTGAGTTCAGCGATTGCTCGCTCACGCTCAACAACAGCTTTCTCACGTTCAACAGTGATGGCTTGGTTTACAATGACCTGATCTTTGAGATTTTCCTCAACAGAGGTCAATTCTTTGATCTTAGAATGACAAATCTTCAATTGCTCTTGAAGATCAACATTAAGCATCTCAGCTTTTGATTTTCCATTGAGGGCATTGTAAAGGTCAACCATCAGCGTATCCAGTGCAGAAAGACTAGCAGAGGGTTCATTCAGGAAGCATACCTGAGTAGAAGAAGTAGATGGCTCAGAGGAGGTAGATGCTTCAGAAGATCCTTCATCAKYATCAATGGCCATCAAGCAAACATAGGCTTTATCCTCTTCGTCTGAAGATGATTCATCAGATGATTCAGCCCAGTCATGCTCTTCAGCAATAAGGCCTTTAGCCTTTCGCTGGTTGTTCTTCATCTTCTTGTATTTCTCCTTCAGTTGTATGTATTTTTCATCTTTGGTCCGGAAGGAGGAGGAGGAAGCTTTAGAAGATGGCGTCGCAGTCTTCTTTGATCTGCATTCACCTGCAAAATGTCCGGACCGGTGACAGTTGTAGTAGATAGCTGAAGCCTTGTCTATTCTTTCAGACTTTGGGTTCTCCCTGAAGGATAGCTGACGAGATCTGCGAAAATTGCTTTTGCTGGCGAACCTTCTAAATGACTTAGTCAGAAGTGCCAGGGACTCATCAAAATCTGTTAGATCAGATTCTGGAATGTCCTCAGAAGAATCTATCTCCGTGATGACCACGGGAGGAAGAGAAGAAACAAAAGAGGTAGAACTTTCAACTGAAGAAGCTTCAGAGATCAAAGCTAAAGGAGAGCTTTTCATTTCCCTGGATTCTTTTACAAGATTTCTTTTTAGTTGACGAGATTGCTCATGGTTAAGCAGAATCCCGTATAAGGTAGAAAGAGAAAGAGTGGACATGTCATTTGACATCTTGAGACAAAGAGTGGACATGTCATTTGACATCTTGAGACACATGGAAAAGGTGTTCCAAGACTCAAGAAGGCATTCTAGAAACTTAGTCAAGGTTTCAGAATTAGAATATTCCCTGCCGACAGCCCTAAGATCAATTAGAAGACAATTAAATCTTTGATGTACTTCAGACAGCGTCTCAGACTTTCCACAGAGAAAGCTTTCATACTGTCTTACTAAATTGATCCTTTCTAGTCTCCTGAACCTGAGTGGTTCCTTCATATTAGACACAAAGTGTATAACGGATTTAGAAGTTTTGAGTTTCATCACTGAGTGATAGATCTCATCAGGAAGAGACATAKCTATTATAGACYGAGCACGCGTGTCTATAGCTATCTTCTTCTTGTCCTCATCGCTCCACTGATGTGGAAGCTTTGGAATCTATCTTTCAGGATTCGCGGCAGTCGTAGCTGTTGCTGGAATAGCCGGAACAATATCAAATGGAATATATGGTCCATTTTCTATGTAATGTGGAATTTTAGGATCCACACCTTCCAGAAAGAGGGACATCCGGTTCTTCCAGAGAGTAAAGTTGTCATGGACAAACCGGGGAGGTTTGGCAAGAGAGCCATTATCTCGTGTATGTGTGTTTGCAATTTGTAAAGCTATTTGTAAGCAGTAAGGTTATCTAAGACGAGATAAATTAATACAAAAAAACAGCCAAACACAAGGAAAGAAAGAAAACACTGCTCTGATACCACTTGTTGGTCCCGTAAGGGTCTACAAGAAGAGAAACAATTTGTAGAAGGGGGAATGAATACAAACACAGTATTTTCAAATTTAAAATATATATTGATAAAGAAGATCAATATAGATTTTACAAGATTGTTTATGGAAAGATAAGGTAATAAAAACCTATCTAAACAATCTTTGGTTACACA